TTTAAGACTCTAGATTATTTTTGTTTCTTGTCTACTATTTTTTAAAACAGGAAGATTTGTTGTGAAGTTTCATCACTTTGTCAGTGCAAGATTCTTATAAAATGATGGGTACCTTTATTTGAGATCAGCATTTTTTAGCATTCTAATGGAAGCATAAACTTTTTTGTTCTTTTTTTAAAGATGATGAGTGGAATCAGAAAAATTGCATCAAAGAATTTCCAATAAATGCTTTTGGGAAGATAGAGTTCCAGAGTAATGGTATGGGATACAGCAAGCCTTCCAAGGTAATTACACCACATTTGTAATTTATTGAACTGCACTGTTCCTAACGTTTTGTAATATGTGTGCATGAAGAAGTTTTTAGGTAAAATTTAAAACTATAATTCCAAAACAAAAGAGAGAAAAAAGCTTCAGATTCAAGCAAAAAAGATATAAAGTGAAGTGTTCTTTATAAAGAATTACAGTGATAACATTTAACATGCTTTTGACGAAAAATTTCCTCATCAGTTTACTATAGTTTGTCTAGTTTGTCTTATAAACATTGATACTGCTAGTCATTTTACAGTAGTGATATATATATCTGTTCTACTCTTAGTATATGCGTGTGACAGAGGAGTGTGTAGATGACACATTACAATTGTTGATAGACCAGGATAAATGGAACATGTTTGAGCCATACAAACCCAGCCTAGTGATATCAGTGATAGGAGGAGCTAAGAATTTTAAGCTGGCTGGAAGGAAGAAAGAAGTATTCAGTCGAGGCTTAGTGAAGGTAATGCTAATAGATGTCACTGGATAGTAGTATAGTAAATGTTATATAAGTTCTCAGGCATAAAGAGGGAAGATGTCATCTTTTTTCTTTGGATGAGGGCTGGTAGTTTAAACTTTGTGCAGAAAACCGGAGTAAGGTTAAGAAATTATTTCTGACAGCAGTTTATCCATAAATGTCCATAAATCAAATTTCTTTCACAGACATCCTCAAGTGTCATAACTTGAGTGATAACTAAAATGCAATGAAATTTTTGGGTGAAACATTAAGCAATAGACAGACATACAAATTCTTTTATGATTATGGTTATTATAATTCTTGTTTTTATTATACAGGCTGCAAAAACCACTAATGCATGGATAATAACCTCAGGCTGTAACACGGGTGTGATGAAAGCTGTGGGGGATGCAGTTAGAGATGCCCAGACCTATAACTGGGATGCCAAGCATGTGACCCACTCCATTAGGTGTATTGGCATACCACCCTGGGGCTATGTCATGGACAGAGATAGACTGGTGTCACATGATGGAAAGGTGGGTGAAAAAAATGGACAAGGGCCTAAGCAAATTGTTTTTCGAAGAGAGATTCTGTTGGCGTGCTCCTTCCTTCTCCTCCCATTCTCTCTCCCCGTTGCATGCTTATATGCCACATTGAGATAAACAGGTTTATTATCTACTCACACATGTATTAGCATGTCTACTCTCCTCTCTTGTGAAATGCAGAATTGGCCATTGTCTAGATGAAATACTGCACGTTAGCAGTATTTTGGACTAGAAATACATTTACTAGTACTTTGTAGGTGTATAAGTGATATCTTTTGCATTAACATACATTTTTCTTTCAGGGTTGCTTTCCAGCCAGATACAAATCCAGCACACTAATTCTGCACGGTCAGCCAGTGTCTCTCAATCCCAGCCACACCCACTTCCTCTTGGTGGACAACGGCTTGAGAAACACATACAATGTGGGGAAATTTAGGGCTATGTTGGAAAAGAAAATGCTGACCCCTGAGCCAGGTACAAAGATAGATGTTTATATAGTGATTTAGGTGGAATATCCTATAACAGTGGAGGATATGGTACAGTCTTGAATAGAAGTGGATTATGAAAAAGATCAGTATGTAGTTTTAGCAATTTAAAAGGAATGCCTGTACTCAGGGAAAGGAATACAAGTTGTTTGAGGAATTGCTTAAGTTTATCTAGGTCTGGAGGCGCATGAATGGAATATCATTTTCTGTTATAAAGGTAGTTGTGAAACTGATGTATAAGAATTCAAAGCAGCATTCTAAAGACTTCATATTTCTGCATCTGTTTTGTTTTTTCATTATATATTAGGTGATTAATTGTCAGCATTATAAGGATTGTTTTATTATTAGGAAAAAAAACAGGACAAAATAACAATGACTATCCTCCTTTCAGATGGCCTTGGCTTGCCTGTAGTACTGTTAATACTGGAAGGCGGTTATGATGCCCTTGTTGATGCCAAGCAGTCCTTAGACCTGGGAATTCCTGTGGTAGTGTGTGAGGGCACGGGGAGAGCAGCAGACATTTTGGCCTTTGCTTTTAACCACCAAACAAGAACTAAGAAGTAAGTTAATGCACAAAACTTGAGGCAGATCCAGACTTTGATAAAATTGTGGCATCTGCAAGTATATGCACTATGAATATGAAAGGTTGCATGCACATACCCATGCAAACATGCATGCACACATGCTCATATGCCAACAGCTATGTCATTGATAAAAGATGTCTAGTTGAAATTGCATATGAATAGGTTTTCTGTTGATTATTAAATAATGTGGAAAGCAGTAAAAGGAACATATGTTGCATGTGAAGTAGCAGTGTAACCCATAGAAGTGTACCCATAAATTTTTTGGTGTTCTTTCCATAACCTATATCTAGTGACAAGCAGTGTCTCTCCAAGAAAGCTGAGAGAATGCTGAACGCAAAGATCCGTGAAGCATTTGGTGATAACTGGAGAGGCAAGGCCACAAAGAATGAGGAAGATAATTATGTTGAGCAGCAAGTGAAGCACTTCTCAGATATGGTTCAAGCTTCTTGTCAGAATGAAAATCTAGTAAGTTACTCAAACATCAAGTAATTGTATGGTAATTCCCAAGCCCATTCCCAAGTTATGAATACGGTAAAGTCTTGAAAATTTCGTCGCTTAAAAATTAATTCATATTTTTAATTGTGTAAATCCGACTAATTTTTCAAAATTACCTCTCCCCGACTCCTGGGTATGACGAAATTTTCAAAAATCCGGCCTTTGGGCTTTTATCCTTAGCGACTGTTATCTTTGACCCTCCTATATTGTGGGATATTTATTACTACTTCCTAAGTCATTTTCTGGTGGTAAATAATAATCTATTTATTAGTGCATCTCGATTAAGTTATACTTAACTTACTGTACCCGAAAACATGTTGAGAATTATCTTCTCAGTAAGAAACATACCTCCTGATAGAGGAGAAGGATCAAGATAAGCCTAATTGCAACCTTGCATCATAACCTGGACGCGACATATTAAAAAAATTACGCTCTTGGGAACGTTTGTTGCATGCAGGGCTTTTCCCAGGATTGAGTGTCAGGCCTTCTAAAATTACCATCTGT